ACATGTTAGTATTTCCACAACGGAATCCCAATACTCATCTGATTGTTAGGCAAGTCGTATTTTTAAAAGAGAAAATAGAAGAAATATATCTTTTTGATGATAATTGTATCGGAAATAAGAGGCAGATGAAATATTATGTAGAAACCCCAGCTCATTCACACAAAGTAATTTCATAATTAGAAACATCACATGCTAATGTGAATCGCTAGATTCACATTAGCCTGGGATGTTTCCTTTTAATGTTTTTTCCATTTAAATGGAAATGAAAAGGAAAAAATGAGATATTTTTTAAATGTTTCTGCAGAAACCAATGATTTCAGATATGTTTTTTTTTTCATGATGTGATTCGCCATTTGGAAATTTTATTTGTTTAGTATTGCTCTAAACTGATTTTGTTCGATTTCATATACAGGGCGTGCCAACGAAAACTTGAACCTCCCTGTAAGTCAGAAACGGACGTGTTATCGAAAATTTCAAAGAACACGTCAATTTTTATTTCTCGGAAGACTAATTTTGATATGAAAATCATACTCGAAACTTCAACCCCCTGCGGTCAGCACCTACCCCCCTATTTTTTTTCAATGGCATAGGGGGTCGAGTGATACATTATTTGAAAGATATTTTGTCCCTCTATTACTTCTGTGATTTTTTTCGAAATGGAGTCATTCGTTATTGAGAAATAAAATGTTGAACGTTTTATTTAACAAAAAACAGAATATTCGCTATCACTCATTTTATTGAGGAAATCAACAAAAGTTATATCAATGGCAACACAATCAGCTGATGAAGTGTTCAAAATGACATGCATCTAGTTCCATACAATAATACAGTCTACTTTCGAAAGCGTTCCTTACATTATTGAAGATGTCCGCAGTCAGAAACCGGCCTTCCCGAACAATTCTCTCTCGCAGGTCTTCTAGATTTGTAAAATTCATTTATTTATTCAATTAATTAGTAGTAAACGTTTTGAAATGGACGACACTGTTAGTTTTTTATGCACTGGTAGTTCTTGTTGAATCTAGTTGTCACAGAACACTGTTGTTGGCCAATGTCACTTCTTCGCGAATTATTATTTAGTCATCCACGTTCACTGTGTTCCAACATGGTTTATTCTACTGAAGAAAGAGTAGAAATTGTTGCAATCTATTATGAAAATAATGAATGTGCTAAAGCTGCTGCAACAATTTATATTACGAATAATCCAGACCACAACGTGAGCCATCAATACGTTGAACAGTTAAAGTTTCGAACTTCACGTTCTGTTCACAACAGAAAACATGAAGTATCCCGTTCCTGTTAGAAATGACGGAGTTGAAGTTGGGTCATGTACAAATGGATAACCGACAATCTATCAGACAAGTAGTTAGAGCGTCTGCTGTATCAGCTACTAGTGTTTTTCGGATTTTGAAAGCCTACAAATTCCATCCTTTCAAAATGAGGCTAGTTCAGGAATTAAACGAAGATGATCCTGATCGTCGACTTCAGTTTTGTGAGGAGTTCAGCGAGAAATTGGCCAATAACCCAAATCTATTATACAATACATGTTTTTCAGACAAAAGTTTTTTCATGTCGAGTAGTGAAGTGAGTAAACACAATTGTCGTTACTGGAGCGATGGGAATCCTCATTTGGTGATGAAAACACATTCACAAACTCCACAAAAATTGAATGTCTGGGCCAGCATTCTTGGTAATCATATTGTTGGACCGTTCTTCATTGAAGGTAATTTCAATGAAGACACATATTCAAATATATTACAAGACTGTGTAGATCCTATGATTACACAAATTTTAAAAAATGATGACAATTCAGTAGAAAATGAAATAAAATTCCAGAAGGATGGTGCACCCCCACATTTTGATGTTTTTGGACAATGCGTTGGATCGGTAGAAGGAGTCCAGTGGAGTGGTCAGTTAGATCACCTGATCTCACACCGAGGGACTTCTTTCTGTAGGGACACCTGAAGTCGAAAGTTACTCTACTAAGCCTACAAATCTAGAAGACCTGCGACAGATAATTTTTCGGAAATGCCGAGTGCTGACTCCGGACATCTTGAATAATGTACGGAACGTTTTCAAGAGTAGACTGTATTATTGTATGGAACTAGGTGGCGGTCACTTTGAACAATTTATCCGTTGATTTTGTTTGCACTGATATTATATGTTGTTGATTTCCTCATTAAAATGAAAGACAGTGAATTTTCTGTTTTTTTGTTAAATAAAACGTTAAACATTCAATTTCTCAATAACGAATGAATCAATTTCGAAAAAAAATCAGAAGTAATAGAGGGACAGAAGACGTTTCGAATGGTGTATCACTCGACCACCCATGCCATTGAAGAAAATAAGGGGTGGTAGTTGCTGACCGCAGGGGGGTGTAGTTTCGGGTATGATTTCCATATCAGAATTAGTCCACCTAGAAATAAAAATTGACGTGTTCTTTGAAATTTTCGATTACACATCCGTTTCTGACTTACAGGGGGGAGGGGGGAAACGCCCTGTATGTCATTTAGCAAATATTTCTCATTTGAATGCGATCGAGAAACCTTCTATTGCAATTTTTCCACGTTGAACGAGTATTTTCGTTAATTTGCTCGGACTACAAGTAGTCGTCGACAGGGAAGACACTAGTCAACCCGTCAAAGGAAACAATGCCGTCGATGTTCTGTGACCTGACATCAAATAGGCTGACAGACTTCAATACGTAACATGAACGTATGGTGATATCTTTGAGGAAATCCCTTTCTTGCACACACAATATTACGTGTCATGTCGTAACGCATATATCAATTCACCTGGTCGGCACTGCCTAATTAGGTATGTTGAAAGCGCCCGTTGTTTCAGGCACTCAACAATATAATTCCATGTAATTGGTCAAGGTACGTTGTTCTTTTGGAACTGTTGTTATTTTTAATTATCCGCTGAGTTGTTATATTTATACCAGGGTCAGAGAGATGAATGAATACTATAATGCTCGGGGCCGTAATATTTGATAAAAAATAGTAGTTCGTACTCCGACTCCAGTAAAAAATTAAAAAGAAATGAAATTGTTCTCTCACAAAAAAATTAACAGAATGAACACGTGATAGAAATTTATAAAAACACCAGCAATTACGAAACATCAAAATAATCGCAAATGATTAATGATAAACCTACCAAATTCCAACAGTTATCTACTATTTTCACTTTTTTGTACTTTCAATGTAGTGAAGTCTGCGATAACTTTGTCAGTATTCTGAAACATAAAACGGGTTATTGTTGTTTTCTAAAAACGTAAAATGCTGAAATTTTGTCAAATAAACTCAGTGCCTTTAAATTTTCACATTTGATTATTTTTTCTTGGAACTGTCAGACCAAACAGAGAAAAAAAAATAAGAATGTACTCTTTCAAAATTGTAAATATATCCGAAACTGATATGAATAATATTATTGTTGAAGTTTATTTTGAAAACATTTTTGGGATTTGAAATTGGTTTATCTAAAGCTAACGCTTCGCAATTACCTATTTTCACTTTTTTCTGAGCAAAATATTCTTCAGCATCCGGTAACTTCTACATAAATTCTTTGTCCTTTCAAATATGACGAATTCCAATATCATTTCATTGAGATTTTTTTCACGCAACAATTCACAAAACATGTTTCTAGAAATTCTTCAAGCAGGTTCAAAATTAAGTGATAATTTCTACATCCACGCTTCTATGTAATACAGTGATATTAATTTTGATTACTATTTATCACCTGTTAAATTTCTACTAATGAATGTAATACGTAATACATTATTACCATTCCAGGAACAAACTCACGGGACATATAATGAATATGAAACTACCGGGGACCTCATATTGCCTCAGTAAAGATCTATCCCCATTACCACTTTCATTACTACCAAAGAGAAAACTACCTCATGTTCTTTCATTCTTCTGGGAACATTTCTCCAAGTTTGCCCAATATATAATTTAGGATAAACGTATATAATCCAGATCTATTCAACACTGAAATTTTGTCTTCACTGAATTCGATAAAGTTGGTGAAATTATTTGTTCTATAGGATACATCCAAATATTTGTTTTTTAACAAAAACCACCCATTCATTAAAGGGTTCACCAAAGTGTTATTGGAATAAGTTATAACGGATTTTCATCAAGTAGCGACCAGTTCCATGACACTTATTCAAAATATATTCACAGAATCTACAGCTGTTTTGAAAAACTTTACTTTATATTTCATGCAGAATAATACTGAAATTATAAATTGAAATATTTGATTTTTTTGTAGTTCCACCTATTCTAGTGCTTGCTATCACGCCTAAAATCTGAATAGGATTCAGATAGATTATATTATGTTGTAAGTTATTCAATATGTTTGCAATGATACAAGTTTACTTTGATTTGATTCTTTAAGCAAATTTATAGATTAAAAATCCTGTTGATGATCTCAATCGGTTTTGAAACAAACAAAAACACGTTCTCACACCATATTATTTTCCCAATAAATGTTCTAATGTGAAAAATATATTCTATATATGGAAATCTGCATTTCTCGTTTTGAAACTTTCACAGGAAATTTTTGATTTGTCGATGGTTTTGTAGAGATGTATATTATGGTAGATATGAATTTTGCATTTTGTTAAAAAAAACAATGCAATTGAACAGAAAACAGGTCCTATAGTTGTTCAAAATGGCATTATTGGTGTTTTTCCATGTAATAAAATTCACCTATTAGAATCCACATAGCAGTTTTCATTACTGAATGAAATACAACATTGAATTTTCTATAGTTCATTTTGAACACTCTGAAATTCCATTCGTTTAGATTTTTTATTTTACTTCATCTTGTTTTTCCAATCAACTATAGTTTAAGCAACACTCCAAATCAGTTAATTCATATCTTATTTTTTGCTTTTCAAATTTTTCAAGATTTTTACTTCTTTACACATCTGGCAGCATAATCCATTTCCTCTGCATTCAATTTTGATTCGTTGTGGTTGAAATAATATCACAATGTTTATAAAAAATATAACAGAATTTATTGAGAGAGGTAACAGAAAAATATAAATAGTTTACAAGAGCAATCCAAAGAGACACACACAGTGTGAATCATCATGTCTCCGCCTATTTATGGCCATAACTTTCATATCCTCCGTCGTGTCCTCCACTGCTGCTTGAATAACTACCACCGTATCCACCACCGTATCCACCGTCGTATCCACCATCATACCCACCATCATATCCTCCGTGGGAGTGTACTGGTACTGCTACTGGTACTTTAACTGGGTACGGAACTGGTTTTGCTACTGGATAAGGCACTGGTTTGGCTACTGGTACTGGTACAGGCCTGTCAATGGCGATTTTCACTGGGTAAGGTACTGGTCTCTCCACGGGGTATGGTACTGGTTTCTCAACAGGGTAAGGCGCTGGGACTGGTACTTTAACAGCTACTGGGTATGGTTTTTCCACTGGGTATGGCACGGGCCTGTCTACTGCCACTTTGACTGGGTATGGTACTGGTTTCTCTACTGGTACTGGTACTTTTTTGATGATATGTACGGGGTAAGGTTGTGGTACGTGAACGGGGTATGGCCTGTCAACTGGAACCTTGACGGGATATGGAACTTGCTTGTATACTGGGTAGGGTTGGGGAACGTGCACAGGTACTTTGACAGGTACTGGAACTTGTTTCTCAACGGGATAAGGTTGTGGGACATGTACTTTAACTGGGTAAGGGATATGCTTTTCAACTGGGTAGGGTTGAGGCACCAAAACTTTCACGGGGTAGGGTCTGTCAACATGTACTTTGACGGGAACGTGAACGATTTTTTCAACGGGGTAGGGTTGTGGGACAGGGACACCTACTTTCACTGGGACTTTCACGGGGTAAGCTACGGGTTTTTCTACTGGATAGGGTTGTGGTACTAGAACTTTTACGGGGTAGGGGACATTCCTAGTTACTGGGTATGGGATGTGCCTTTCAACGGGATAAGGTAGTGGTACTCCTTTGAAAAGGGTGATGGTTTTTTCTACAGAAGTTGAGTGGCCAAGATCGATGGATCCATGGCCAACTGGGTATCCTCCTTCCAGGCCGAGACCTCCTTGACCGACATGATAGCCATTGTCAAAATCTCCTCCGTATCCGTAACCTAAACTGAGTAGGCCGCGTTTGGTTTGTTTTTTGTCGCTTGGTTCTGCTTCCTTCTTCTCCTTGGCCTCAGCGTTTACCGCCACTGCCACAAGGACTAAGATTGACAAAGTTATCTGAAAGTGGTAGATAAAAGTGTCAGTGTCAAGAATAATTTTGGGCAAAGGGCAGTTAAGAAGAAGCAGACGGATTGGAATTAGCATTTATTTTTTGAATATTTGATCAGTTCTTCCTTGATGTATTTGATAACCAAAATATCATTATTGATCAAATTGAGTAGTTAAATTGGCAAGAATAGCTTTTTATATCTGAATATCAACATTCTACAATTGCATTCTATTCTTGTTATTCTATTCAGTGAAGAATTTTGATTTTATATCAAGGTTCTATTCTAAACGGATGAATTCAACTAGTTAAAGCTATACAAAAATGTCTAAATCCAGAATGAACAGAAAAAAATCAACTTTTATGAATTAAATCTATCATGTTTCTATATAAAAACTAAAAATTTTCATTTCGTAATTATTACTGTTGTAATAATATTCAATGAAACTACTCATTTTATTGCAAAACAACAATCAGTTATGAATTATTTTTATAGCAAGCGTGATTCATGTCATGGATCTAGTTTAATATTATGTGTAATAATAATTGCAATTAATTATCAAATAATTAGTAAACTTGTTACATGAAAATAACCCTAGATAATTTATGTAGTTTAGTCCAAATGAAAAGCTTATAAATGAATTTAATTATATTAACAAGTGGTGATGAGATTTGGGTAAAATTTCTCACATTGTTTGACGAGCTAGGACTTTCTTTTCGAAACAAATAAAAAATCATATCAGCAACTGCTGAGTGGTTTGAAACTTATTTTAAGCAAACAACTATAAGCATCAATGAAAATTGAATTCTTAGCAATGCTGCTTAATGTTTGAACAACTCAAATTTAGATTCTTCCTGATTAGTTATCAATCAAAGTGTAGTGCATTGTTCTGAAGGATTTTCAATGTAGTGAAATTTTCTGAAGTTGATAATGATAGTGATTGTTGATATTCAATATTGTGAATTATATTTTTTCTAAAATTGAAATTTATTTTCCCCAGAAATTGAACTTCATAATTATTGAAGTGATAAATGTAATTATAATAAAATTTTTGGTAATTTTGCTATGTGAGTAATCAACTCATCAATTCAAATCAAGTTTTTTTGATTGTGTACCCTCTTGTTAGATTTCACGATGAAACCTAATGAAACTCTTTCATTTCTTTTTTTTGAAAATCCTTCGACAACCGTGGCACTACATTATTCATTGCACTGTGGTAATCCTTAATCACTGATTTTTCTCACAAATCACAATCACAAAACTCACCAAAGCCTTCATTTCAACTCTCATGTATTGCAGTAGTTCAACAAATGAACTGAATACCTTTTGGAGTTCTTCAATGACTTTTATACTCAATGCAAACTTTCATCGAGCAGGCCACTACTTCTTGGGTTCTTGTGCAAAAGCTTGCCCCCCTCGCAAAAAATAAGTTCCCGCGACCGTTTCGAGAAAGTTATTTTTCAGAAGGTGATCTAGCGGGGTGGATACAGGGACGGAGCAGCGGATTCGAATGGGTTTCGTTCTGTGCCGAATACTCTTTGCGATGGTCATAGACGGTTGGTTTTTGTGTGGACTTTGAAGCTGATGTGATTAATCGAGTTTTTGCATGCTGACTGTGAGATAATATTGTAGTTATAGGAAGTAATATTCAGATTTCCATCAAAATATTCACAAACACAAAACAAGATAGACTATATGAAATATGTCAATGAAAATATTTCTCAAAATTCGTTATATCGCTGAAATTTTATAACAAATTCCATAGGGCTGGTTGACGGAAAACATTTTAACAGTTTTTCAACAGATTATGCATCGGAAATATCCAAACTTCCTTTTGACTGAATTTATATCTTCATTCTACAATTATTCAAACTATAAATTGAAGTTTTATTTTATTTTATTTATATGTAAAAAAAAACGTTTAAAATATATGTGTCAGACAACATAGGTACAAACGAAAATGAGGACTAAACAAATGAAAACACATACACCACAGACACATTAAAAATGAAAAAGATATCAAGGGAGACAAACTGATTAGAAATGGACGTTTTTGTTTGCCTTTTTTAAAAAAAAATATGAACAATAGAAGGATATCTGTTTACAAAGGATGGTGGAAACTTATGTGTAATAAAATATTAATATTTAGTCCTTCTATGTCCCTTCTAGTGTTAACACTTTTTTGTTTGAAAATGTGGATCATCTCACTAAACAGTCGTTTACCTAATAAAGGTTGAATATCTAAAATCTTGGGGTTTGCAAAGTCAAAACTGTGGTTGTTTTCTCTTGTGTATTCAACGAGGGCTGTTGGATTGGCAACATTCAACTTCCTTGTATCTTTTTCATGTTCAGACAACCTGTTTTTTAAGTAACGTCCCGTTTGCCCTACATAACATTCTGGACAATCATTGCAGTTAATTTTATAAACAATGTTTGATTGCATATTCATCGTTTATAAAATTAACTTTGTACTGTCTTCTAAAAACTGACTTCATGTGAAATTGTAATTAGCAAAAAGGGTGGTGTTTTGTTGTGCTATAAAAAATGCGAGTTCTTTACGCTTTGGTTGAGAATACTCAGATAAATTAATTTGGATAGACTGATAAACCGAACCCAACCCAACTTTCGAATTAATTTATAAACGTTTGGAACATGTGGAGTGATTACCTGCATTTTTGTTTCCTAGATGACCCCATGAGAAAAAATCTAATACGGCGAGGTCAGGTGGAGTCACGAACCTCTTTAATCTAGCTATCTATTCGAAAATAATGTATTCAAATTCTGGCTAGATGAAACCTCAAAGAGAAATGTAGTAGCTATCAATGAACTCGATTAGGAATAAAGCCTGTTGGTATAGGAATGATCTCTGCCTGTAAAAATTTCAAATATTTCAAATAGATATCTGTAGTTATTTTTGAAAAATGGTAATAAGTTCATCAACTATCATAAGGACCTCACAAGAATAAGACTCTTCTTGCAATTATTTACCAATACACAATTTCTCACTTTTTCATCATAATGGATGAAACTAAAGCTTAATCAACAAAGCATTTATCACCCAACACCAAACAGCGCTGTGTAAACCCAGAATTGGTCTCATCAGTGGTGCTCGGCTGAATCATAAGTGCATTGCTGGATCCAACTGTCCTTAAAGTACAAGCCTGAATATAAATGAGAAGCGCTGACATTTTCCCTTACGAAAACGCTTCCCAAATGATTGACAGAAGACTCAGTCCGCACAACGAGTTTCAATTTGTCATTGATGGTCGCGGATTGAGTTTTCTGTCAATCCGATAGATGGCGTTTTTGTAAGGTGATACGTCATTGCCAATATTATCATAATAACAATTATAAATGATTGGAAAGCAGTAAGATTAAACAATGTCATTTTTTTCGTGATGTTGAAAAAGCCTCTCTGAAATGATAAATTATGCTGTATAGAAGCTCTCCAACTCACTTTTATCTGATGTTCAATATAGACAAATTATAATAAATGCGAACATTTCGTATATTCAAAGCAGCATTAGGCTTCTTACTGAACCCTGCGCCACATCACGAAGTACTTTTATTATGCTGAATATTTTTTTGTCTGCTTCGCCTTCAGTTTTGTGTGTTTTGAGTCAAAGATTAAACGCCAGTTTTATTTTACAAATACGAATCAGATGTTACTTCTTGGTATATTCTCACGCAATGTTTCTGCTGTGGAAAGATGTATTATTGGGGACGATAACATACAATCATCTCAGTTCCAAACTCCCACGACAACAATCTTCCATTACCCAAGCCGATATTTCTGCTAAACACAACAATACTGAAAAATTCCCAACAATAGAAAAAAATTGAACGCACCGTTTCACAAGAAATGCATACGCAATGCAAAATTCCGTGTTGAAATAATGGGAACAAACAAGTTTAAGGCCGGAACACTTTCTTTGCGAGAATTTTGTCGGTTTGTAAAGTGTTCTTATCAAATATATTACGAGGTAATCTAGCAAGCGTTCGAATGCCATCTGGCACGATACGAGCAGAATACTTGATTGTTATGTAAAGGATCTAGCAGGAGCTCTTTGAATAGAATATAACAATGGTATGAAAGTTTCCATATATTGACTAGCTAATGAAAATTTATGAATAATTTCACCTTCATCAGACAAAAAAAGCGAGTGTGCTTTAGACCACATGGGCGGTCCTTTTTGATCATTCCCATATTGATTTCAATTTAAGAGTCACCGGTAGACAGCTGTTTCAGTCTATTGGGTATCGTCAGTACCGGGCAGGCGGTCCTCGATTGAAGACAAAATGAGAAAAAACCAAGAAAGTACTTGATAAAAATAGCTGCGTAAACGCAAGCGAAACATAAGTGGAACCACCTATTGGTGTAACACCCAAGTCAATTAACTAAGTTTTTATGTCAGTGTTGGTGNAGGTTGCTGTCCAGATTAATTCCAAGAAATTCATGTAGTTTTTTGTTTGATATAATATCATTACCCATCGGAATTCCTGACGAGTTGCAATTAAAAGATTGATTTTTTCTATATTGAAGGATAGCAGATTGGAGTTACATCACTCACTCACTTCAACAATATCTTCTGCTATTTTGTTTTGAAGATCATTTTCATTAGTGTCATACCACAGAATGGTTGTATCATCTGCAAAAATTGTGAACGTTCCCTCAGAATCAATATAAGCTAGATCATTAAAATACAACACAAACAATACTGGCCCCAGTACCGAGCCTTGGGATAGTCCGTGTCTGACAGAGACAATATCTGACAGCGTGTCAGTTCTCACAACTTGGGTTCGTTGACTCAGATATGATTCCATCTAGTTAAGGAATACAATGGTTCAAGACAGATCACTGAAGTTTGGAAAAAATATGTTTCTCAAATGAATGCGAATACTCGAAACAGATCATGCAAATCGAAGGGGGTATCCTAAACTTAACATTTACTGGCAGTGAACATCCAAAGTAGTTCAAGTCTATTTTAACGCTATCAGGCAAGACAAAGTCTTCGTTAAAGTAAAACTATTCGTGTTCATAGCAATTGTCGACTGATTAGTTGATTTTAGACGGCATGCAGTCATAAACCGATATTTAAACGCTTGGTAAGCTTATTATTTCGGTCTCTGGAAATGCTGTAGTTGAAGTTTGTTGTTCTCTATGAAATACTCAATATAAATTCACATTCATCACGAAACACATTATTTTGATACAAAAAGCCTGAACGCACGGGCCCTGTCATTCAACCTTGCGGTACTCTATCATAAGAATGTGATGAACATTGGTTCAGGTGTACATTTCTGAAACCTTCTAGAATATGTAGTTATCAGGTTAAAAATTGGTGTTTCTTTTTTCCAGATACTTCGTGAGCACAATCCTGCAATTCCAAATATACCGATCTCTGTGCATCGCCGCTGGCCAATATTCCCCCTCCGATCCAAGCAGGCCGCTTCACGAATGCGACATTTACAGAAGCAAGGATGCTGGCAGGATATTGATGTGAGTAGTAAACAATAAAATAATGGTATTATTGTGCGATTGAAAAATTACGCAAGTAACTGCCTCCGCGTACCACGACTAGAGTAGGTGCAAGGTCGAATCATCTGTACCAGCAGTTATTTTTCCATTAAAATGCAAGAAAATATTAATGCAATGGTTTTCAAGTGAAGCCAAATTACCTATTAGAGAAAAAAATTGAATATTTATCCGATTTTAAAGGTTGACTGTCATGCTGAAAGTCATGTGAAAGTAAATAGGAATTGAAATGATGTTGAAACTACAATAACAATGTTGGCAACGATAATAATAATGAAAACGGTTTTTTAACTATCTTTAATCAATTTGTACCTACATTTGAACTGTTTCCTTTCTAACCATATCCGAAGACTAAAAGGTGACTGACGAAAACTTATAGATTTTCGCAAGTACTTGATGAGTTATAGTGTGATTCAATGATGAAGATTTGAGTATTTTTGGAATCAGCACCACCTTCTTCTTTATATTGTTGCTCCAGGTTTGAAAATGTAATATTGTGCCTCTAGTATATTCAGTGTGATGACCCAATATTTTTGGTCAGCTGTTGAATTGTTGTTGTAGTAGCAGAAATTGTAACAGTAAATTTCAAAATCATAGCAATACACAAATGGAAAATACCCCATTCTGATTATGTATGAAAGGTAATGCTTTGTATTCAGTTCTGAGAATTTTCTTTACGATTTTGTTAAACATCTCCTGAAAAAAAATGACGCCGGCCGCTGCTGTTCGTCGTAAATCCATTGTGACTTGGCCAAGACCGCGCTCAACTCTACTTGCGCTTCGCGATTGTTTTAGATGTCGCTTCCCTTCGAAAGACTCCTATCGACTTTCTTATCGGCTTCCAGAGACTTTCATTACCATATATAAACACTACCAAAACGTTGATCCAGGAAATCTAGTTGACAGTGCCGTACGAAGTAACCTAATAAGGCGATAAACATTTGAATATTGGTTATTATTGGCAAACCCACGAGAAAAACGTAATAATAATAAAAAAACAACAAGGCGCATTTGTACACATAATTTTTAATTGAATATATTTATAACTTCAAGACAATAACCTGCTGAGAATCAAAATTGCTGTTTGATGTTCACTAAATGTATCGGCCACTATATTTGGGGACTTCTGTTTCAGTTTCAGGCATAACCACCTGATTTGAGTCATTGCCTGTGCCTTCAACCCAAAAACATTTGAGAAAACATTGAAAACAGAAATCTACATTTGATAGAAATACTCATTACGATACTGATGATTTGAAAGAAAATAAGCAATGCCAACATTTCACAATCCAATAATATCTATCTAATAACTATTCCGTTACTTCAGAATTTTCAAAATCATCTAGAAACTATAGAATATTTCTCAATGATTTCGAGTGTCAAGTTGAGAATTTGTCAATTTGTCTTGTTCAGCTGTCTCTGAAAGTCAGCATATCAGCCCCTAATAGTATCTGTATTTCACTCAAAGCTTCATGCTTCTGAGTGAAGTGAGTTGAACTTTAATTTTTCTCGAAAAATATTTATTTATTCATCATTTGCTCTTTTGTAATCTTCAAAGTAATCCTCCTCAGATATAACGCACTTGTGCCAGCGTTTCCAGTCCTCGAAACAGTTCTGATATTATCTTTTTGGTGTGTCCTTGAGCTCTTCCAACGATTCGGTTTTCATCTCCCCAATCGTCGAAAAACGGCCGCCCTGTCATGGGTCTCCTCAATCTTGGGAACAGGAAAAAGTCGCAGGGGGCACATCTGGTGAATATGTTGGCTGAGGCATGATAACGGTGCTGTTTTTGGGCAAACAATTACGAACAAGCAATGATGAGTGCATTCGCGAATTGCTTCTAGCAAGCGGCGCATTTCTTCAAGATAGTACTCCTTATTGACCGTACTACCATGTAACAAGAACTCCTTGACATTTGATCAAACTTGGCGCGCTTTTTTTGGCCTTGGCTCTCCTGGGGTCTTCCATTGGGACGATTGGACTCTGGTTTCGATGTCACAACCATATACCCATGATTCGTTACCAGGTATGACACTTTTGAGCAAATGTCGATTGCCATTGACGTCATTCAAAAATTCCTGAGGAATGCTCATGCGACGGTTTTTTTGATTAAAATTCTGTTAATTTGGAACGAACTTCGATGCCACATATCTCATTTCATAACAATTTTTTTCACTTTCTCAACATTTTCATCGGTTGTTGATGTGCTGGGTTGTTCAGGGCGAGCGTCGAATTAGAAAAAGTATCTTCTATGGTGCCATTTTCAAAAGAAATGATTTGCTGTGTTGATAAAAAAACTGTATATTCTATTGAATGGTTTAAAAATATGAAAAGTTCATTTTGAAATTATTGACTTTGTTGAACTGAAATAGGTTATCTTATTAAAACATCACCTCCAATGAACTATACCGACGTTCTGAATTTCAAATGTTTCACCCTAGAAACAACTGAATGGTGTTATGCATATCATTTCGTCGTCACCTGGTATAATGCAAAATATGACAAGTTGAAATTCTCAAGCACTTCATGCTGTTGTTATTATTTTTCAGCAATGCGATGTCATCATTTCCATATTCAATGCTACACTATCGTTGATATCCCAAGGAGATAACATGATTGAGAGCTCAGTTCCGCTGTTACCTTATTAAATCTGATATCAACGCAGCGACAAAATCTAATTAGACATTTTGCAATTTTTCACTCAAGAATTTATAGGCCACGACCGTTCTTCACTTGTTGCGTAACCTATTAATTTAGACTGATACGTGTTATGGTTTCTTGTTGGATCTCCGCGTTCTGAACTTACTTTCTAGATATACGAATGACCAGTACCGGCGATCTAAAAATGACTTGAAAGTGAAATGAATGCAACTTGTTGTTTGTTTAATTGGACTGATCGACTGCTCATTGCAAAATACGGCCTAAATCAGGACAACTGGATTTGCGTTATTTCTTACAATTCATTGTTTTGATTTCTGTCAGAGAACAGATACAGCGTGACCACATTTCATTTGAGAAATCTACCTACGGTGTCATCGAAAAACTACTGATATCTACTGCAATGTATTTGAAGTGGTGTACTCTTTGATTTGAAGTTTGAAGAGCACCAACATACTGAAAATTTGATTTTTCGACCACTAGGTGGCGCTTGTAAAGACATTTGAATAGCATCAGTGAATCTACAAGGCCTTGCCTTCTTACGGGTATGGCCAATGGGCGTGTGAAATAGCAAGTTGATTTCTAGGTGGTTATTTCGAACACTGGGACTATTTCAAGTATTAGATTTCAAGATTCAAAAACAAAAATGTTTCCATGTTTGAAATGGAACTTTCAATCCTTCTTATTCTTCTTCCTTTATTCGGAGGTCGGAGATATTCAGAAAATAGTAATAAGCAATCGGGAAATGGATGTTTTATGATCAGAATCCATTTTGTGTTCTGTGTATCGAAGCGGATAGAATCTAGAAATAATGAATTCATGTCATTTGCTGTAGATGTCGCCACACACATTGAAATGAAAATTCTATCGCCAAGGCATCTTATTCATATCTACCGAAATCTACCGGCGAAAATTCATCTACAATTTGTGTTGAAAATCTACCGGAAAAGTAGAAATCTACCGCATGTGGTCACCCTGAACAGATTAACAACTACTTGGCCTGGCGAACGTCATATCGCCTCAGAATCACAAATGTGTTAAGTTCTAAGCTGCATTACATTAATATTTCATATTGTGATTGTGAAGTCGAGCCATACTGATACGGCCAGGGTTGCCAGCTCATGTTTATGATTAGTATTAGATTTTGTGTCAGAATAACAGTAAATTGATACAGAGGAGAAAATTCCATACTGCATACATCGTAATTTCCACAATGTACAGCCATTCAACAATTATTTTTTTAAATCAAGTGAGTCATTAGTAAATTTTAACTATCAAGCAGTAGCTCGCGAGTGAAAACAGGAGATGTACTGCAAAAACAGTAGATCTGGCAATATTGAACACAAGGCTCCTCTCGTGCGATTTTTTCTTTATCTGTAGGGGTTCCATTGCAATATTCCGCACTCTAATTATGCCTTCGTTGTGATAGATTCGATCTTCAATCTCGCGGAATGATTAACAACACTGTGACGAATATTGCTAACTTCGTTTCTATTATGATATCACATTCATTCATTATCGTCTATTCGTAAATGTCATAATCTCAAGTATCTTAGCACGCAACGTTTCGAGCCGAATGCCATAAATTTGTTCTTTCTTCAATTTTTTTGTCCAACGTCTATTCGTAAATGTCATAATCTCAAGTATCTTAGCACGCAACGTTTCGAGCCGAATGCCATTCGGCTCGAATTTTTTTTTTGTCCAACTAACACGATTTCACGAATTTATTTCATATGTCAGATTTGAAAAATGAAGTAATGAAATTGAAGATTGAGGATATTGATGTCCTTTGGTTTGTTAGGTTATGACATTTGTCATGGTGCGCAAAGACGATTGAGGTTATGATATTGTGATTGTGCGCGCATGAATGATTTTAATGTCATAATGAAGGCGAAGTCATCAATATTCATCAGTGTTATTCACAATTTCATGAACGAGGTAGTCGAATTTTTCACAACGAATCCGTGATTCAATTAGATTATGGAATATTGTGAATCAATCCAGTGCCGATGAAGAAGAAATCGCACGAGAGTTGTCAGGTCTACTATATGTGCGGTAGAACCCTTGTTTTGTCTTTCGAGCTACTATTCTACTGCTGTTAGAATCTACTGATGGCTCAACTTACTTTCTATAATGATAATTGAATGACAGTACATATTGGAAATACCTATGTATGTCGGATGTATCTGAAATGTCATGTAACTAAATGCGTGTATGGAACTTGACTGCAAAAAGCGGAGTCATCAACAGGAGCCACAATATCTTTCAATCAAAACCTGAGATGTGCGGCTTGCTTCAGTTGATAC